TATAAACGCTTAATGGTGTTCTTAGAAGGCGCACTTCTCACATTTTTTAATGTTTTAAAAGCACGTTGAGTTTTCACAATTGACTTCTTCTGTTGAATGTAAATTTCAACTATTTCAGAGCGCTCGCGTGGCGTGTATTGGTTCATGGTAAAAATCTGCTTGGACTGACGCTTCAAACGCGGTATGTCATTAAGCGATGTGACATCTCTGTCAAAAGTTATGGCGTTGCCAGATGGGTCCGTCGAATATGGGCAACCCTGTATAACATTTTAATAACATTTAGGGGGCTACTATATATAAAATTGTGGTTAGTTGTCATCAAAAACATGTTCTGACCATAACAATATTTGGCCATTTTTTTCTTGATTTATGGGGATAGGAAGAAGTCATTGGTTGTTAAGTCAGTTCTGTACCGAGAACGACCCATTAATTTTGTGTTTTGATCGTTTAGAAAGGCGCTGGTTTGAGCCGATATATGCGAGATCTAAGACTCACACTCCGAAGTCTACTCAGAATTGACCATCCATTGTACAATTTTGAGGGATTTTATGAATTGTAAAATTTTGCAATAATGAATGTATGCCGGCGAAAGAAGTGCCCAATGGAGACTTAATTTCACGACACGTCAAATGACGATTTTGCATTATCAAGTCTCGCACAGCGTGAAAGTTCTAGAATCGACCTTGGTTTAGAATTTTCAAAATAATAAAGTTTGTGGGGGAGGAGTGGTCCGATACTCAAATCCGATATTCTCAGATCCAATGCTCAATTACCTTCGTATCAGGATTATATACATTCAAAAATGCTGATTCACACCACCACCACCGTTTATAGAACAAATCGGATACTCCGTTCACATATAAGATATTTACAAATATTCATAATTTTGACTCTTTGTGGGTAAGGTACCAGGCAGACTAACATCTCAGTCTTACGAATGAGTGTATAATAATATCATTTAATTATGTCTTCTTGAAATAAAATAGTTTCATTTATTTGTTTGCCTTCCATTTAAAATCGTAATGGAATCCACTTAAACCAAACCCTAACGAAGCTAATTTAATTGATTTTCTTAATGTTATAAATAATTTAACTAATTTACATGTACGACGCCCTTTACTCACATTGAAAGTAAAATTCTATTATACTATATTTATTCATTTTTATTGTTTTTGTCTTGTAATTCCCCTATTCATCATTTCTTTGTTGTTTTCTATTCCATTTTTGCAGGATCAGTACGACAATTTAGCCATACACACAAATAAAGGCATTGAATTCTTGGACAAATATGCAAATTTTATACGTGACCGTTTAACGATAGAAACAGAATATGCCGCCAAATTAAGGTAAGTCAAGCCCCATGTCTCATACAATTATTGTTTGCTTTTTATTGTTATAAATTAGTATTACTCAGTTTTGTTGTTAATAATAAAAAATTGAATTTATTATTAATCATATATTTACAACAAAGGAACTTAAAAAAAGAAAAACAACAACAGTAACACAACAATAATTTTTATTTCATAAAAACGGGAATATTGAAAATATATTTTTTTATTCTTCCCATTCAATAGACATAGATGTATTTGTAATAGATATAAAAGCTTTCAAGTGGTCTTCGGCAAAGTCGAAGGTCTTTTAGGGGGAGATCGAAGACATTTACACAGATTATGAATAAGAAATATTATAAAGCATTTGATGTATTTTATCTTTGTTTGTGGTCATGATGCCATTGGAAGTAGTAATTGTTCTCCACATCCAATTTTTCGCTTTTAAATATTTCTTAAAATAATAAGGTACTCATATTTATATACAGTAAAAATGTTGAACCACTACAGGCCAGCCGTACCTCGCCATGCCATGGTACCGGATTTTATTTAGATCTTTTAACAGAGTGAGGCGCACAGTGGGTAAAAATACCGATCTAGCGCGCAGAAATAAAAAATGAACAGGCCAGCCGTACCTCCCCATGCCATGGTACCGGATCTTATTTAGATCTTTTAACAGAGAGAAGGTTTTGTTCAAATAAAATTAAAAAAAAATTGTGAATTTTGTTGGTATAATTGATCAAATATGACTTGGAATAGATCACAGCATAACAGATAAGAAAAAAAACTTCAAAATGTCCGTCCTAAGGTTCCAGAGTAATGGGTGTGAGTATAAGGGTATTTAAGTAAGCTGCTCCAAACATTGATTTTAAACTCATGCACTGAATATACATTTATTCCAAATGTCTTTCTAAATAAAAATTGAAATTACAACGAAATCGGTTGTAAGAGTCTTCTCAAATACCGCCGGTAAAGGGTCTACTTTATGAACCCTGAAAATATATCATTGGTGTAACACATTTATGGTTTTCGCTATAAGCAAATTACAACAAAATTTCGTCATTAACACCGAACATCAACTTATACGAATACGGCCTGTATATTGCACATTTCATACCGACTGGTTTTAAAAAAGTGGAAAATTAATAGCTCCGATCGGTCACTTTTCGAAGAAAAGAAGGCACGTATCATTAATGATTTGAATGATTTGATTTGAATGATTTTGAAGGAAGAAATGTACATTATTGTTAACACACCTAAGTCAGTATCCGGAACAACAAACGATGACAATACTGCTAGGCGTTTTTTATTCTTTTCGTGGAATTATATCCTTGGTTCTACATGCCTTCAAGCATACACAAAATATTAGTGCATGAAGCTGATATAATTAAATGTGCAGCTTTGCTCCTAGGAATGTTGTCTGGAAGAAGCCATGGAATCCAGAAATAAGGACTTTCGGAACTACAGGGAACTGTACACCAGAAAAATTAGTCGTGAGGAAAAAATGAGGGATCTTTTCAATAGGTTGCTATTTTCTTCTGATCCAAATATATCAAGTTTGTCTAGTAGTACATCTCTTAACCATCGATATATTGAGGATCCAATGCTACCAAAACTTACTGAGGACACATTTATTCTTTTCGTGAAATTATATCCTTGGTTCTATATGCCTTCAAGCATACACAAAATATTACTGCATGGTGCTGATATAATTAAATGTGCAGCTTTGCCCGTAGGAATGTTGTCTGAAGAAGCCATGGAATCCAGAAATAAGGACTTTCGGAACTACAGGGAACTGTACACCAGAAAAATTAGTCGTGAGGAAACAATGAGGTTTCTTTCCAATAGGTTGCTATTTTCTTCTGATCCAAAAATATCAAGTTTGTCTCGTAGTACATCTCTTAACCATCGATATAGTGAGCCACTATCTGAAGAAGTCCTTAAACTTCTGGAGGATCCAATGCTACCAAATAATTCGGATCAAAACTCGGATTCTGAATATGATTAGTGTTTAATAAGTAATGCCTAAATTTTATAGTTTAATGTTTTAGATATATAATATTAACAATAATAAATATACATATAATAACAATAGTGTTTGCCCTTAACCCACTTTTTACCCTCCAAATGCTTCGGAATTTTTAAAAGAAGCTCCCATTTTAGGAGTACTATTAGTTATAATGAAAAATGTTGCTTATTATAAAATGTTTCAAATGCTTCAAAATAGTAATTTTCACCTAAAAATTTAAGTTTAAAAAAAAAAAAAAATCGGCGCTTAATGGGTTAATAAAAAAAAAAAACAAAATTGTCAAATTTTTTCATAAAATAATAAAAATTGCCCATCTAAATCTATTCTTATCAAAAATATCGATAAACATACAGTAAAACATCTACTTTTATTTTCTGCGCGCATTTTTCCCACTGTTTAGGCATGGTATTTACAGATATAATACCATGCCTAAAAGTATGCCCTTAATTTCGTAGAATAGACAAATTTATTGAACCCTTATCAATTAGTTAAAATGATTAGATTAAAGTATATTTTAAAATTTCGGCAAGGCGCCTATGTTACTACTATACTATATATTGTTGGTTATAACAGTGTATTATTCAGATTTTTATACCCTTAGCATTGTGGCTAGCACTTTGCTACGTCAAAAATGTGCCTCTTCGAATAATTGTTTTTAAATTCCAAGTTTTTTTTTTACCAAATCTGTTTCAGACAATTTGAAGTCGAATTAGAAATGACCACCTGTCTGTCTGGCTGTTGGGCACAATAATTCTCGAAGGAAGTAACCGATTTCATCAAACTCAAATCAAGTATTAATATGAGAAATATCGATCTACACCTTATAGCATTTTCGCCAACCAATGGCCAAATTATCCGATTTGAACCAAACTAACAACACAACCTAATATTTTATCAAATTTGAAGATGGAGATTATTTGGCCACTTCTCTCCTCCAAGGGGTAAACATTTTTAAATAGTGTTAATCAAACATAAATCGAAGAAAATATCCAATTTCTTCCAATCTTGGTACCTGTTAATACTTATCTCAGAAATAGATTAAGTCTGAAGATGGAGCCAATCGGTCTACCACTTCTCATATTTTCAAATAGAATATCAATAAAATTGAGGGATTTAAACATTACACATCGTCATATTCCTGTCAAACTTATATCAAGTCTGATCCACCCAAAAAATTTCAAATTCAGTATCAAGCAATTTGGGTGTTTTTTTTTTTCAAACCTATGTCATAAGCTCCTTCTGGTTCTTCGCTCGCAAAGTATCAAAATTAAAATTTTAACTTTTTAAAATCAATTCGAGGTTAATGGAGTATCCGATTTGATCCATTGTAGACCCTCGCCAAGCTGAATGTCATACACGTCAGGATATCTCATATGTTATACGCTGTGGATATTTCTCTGACCCGACTGACCCTTTTTAATTCCTCAGCACATTTTTCAAGGTGCCATTGAGTATTGTAATTATAAATAATAAATTTATAACATTTTGGAAATAGGTCTAATTTAATGTTAGTCTTATTACTTTCCCCAAAAATTGTTTTCTATTCAATATCTCCATATTTGCCTACAGAATCCGCATCAATTAATAACTCATACAAATTTATTTTTTTATATATTATAATCCTTTATTTCATTTTAACCCTTTTTAATATGAGATACCAGTATTGGACTTGATCCAATCCAAGTAGCTTGTCAAACGGGTGAAAGCAGCTGGGTAACCCTTGGCGCAACCGGCAGCAGCACCGAATGAAGTCAAACCAATTTGAACCTTGGAGGATTCCAAAACCAATGGGCCGCCAGAATCACCATTGCAGGTGGAGACCCCACCGGGAGTGGCAACACAAAGGACGGTTGAGGTAACAATGGAGGTACCATATGTTTGAGCACAGACAGAGTTGGTGATGACTTGCATACGGGCCCATTGCAAGTTGTTGGTGACACCGCTGGCCGAATCGGAAATCTTACCCCAACCAGAAGCGATGGCATAATCACCAACATACGTGGAATAGGAGTTGGAGATGGCGGGTAATCTAACGGGTTGAATGCGGCTGGTGTAGGTAACAGAGGGGATCTTGATCAAGGAGATGTCGTTCTTAACAGTGGCGCTATTCCAGCCAGAGTGGATGATGATGTCGCTCTTGGGAACGGTAAAGGTGACTTCAGCTGAGGTACGAACGGTGGCACCCAAGTAGACGGTGACGGATTGTATACTACAGAATATAGAATTTAATTTTTTATAAAATATATAAAAAACATCTTAGAAAAAAATCTCCTTACCCATCAGTACAATGGGCAGCGGTCAAAACCCAGTTGTTACCGATCAAGGAACCACCACACCAGGCCGAGGCTAAGGCATTAACCTTCAAGGAAAGACCAACTTGATAGGGGAATTGACCAACGGAGGCGGTGTTGCCATTGGTAATGCGACCTTCGCCATCAATGACCGGTACAACCAAATCGCGTTGGAAGATATCCTCAGCGGAGACGGCGGCCAAAGCCAAAGCGAAAATAATAAAGAATTTCATGGTGCTACTGTACGAATACAATTGCTTGATTTTCACAAATTGTTCTCAAGTTTATATAATGGAAATCTTATCAATGCAGGCGGCGTTTGTTGTCAGTTCTATATAAAAAAAGAAAATGGCAAATTATTGTTTAGATTGCACACATTTTTCCTACCTTAAGTAGATTTTGGAAAACAAAAACATTTGTCATATCTCTCCCAGACTGTTTGGGCCACACTTTAATATGCAAAAAAATTAATAATATATAAGCCATCATAAAGATAAGCCATCAATTCAATATGCCAAATCACAATCTCCCTCTATCAATAAGGCCCATGCCGTGATAATTCCAGTAAACAAAACAAATAATAATATTGCATTTTGTTTTATCACACCAATTGCGCTAAAAATAAGCCAGGGCATTTTAGAATTTGACCAACGTCTTTTTGTTTTTTGGTAGATAGTTAATCTCGTCGTCATTGTTGATAAGTTACCCTATAAAAACCATGCACGGACCCATTGCAAATAAGCAGTTGTATTTCGAACAGCAGTAGCACCATGAAATTCTTAGTAGTTTTCGCTTTGGCTTTAGCCACCGCCTCGGCCTTTGATTTGAGATCCGAATATGTGGAATCTCGCAGCGTTGTCATGCCCGTCGTTGAGGGCGAAGGACG